TGGTGCCCCAGCCTCCCAAAACCCTTTCCATAAATATAGCTACAAAATAGAGAAATTGATAGACACATGTAGAAAGAGAAATGACCAGTGTTGCCTCTCAATGACCACTTGTCCCTCTCTTCACATGGGTCTTTCTTTCTCTCTCTACACAAAACACTAACTTATCTAAAAAGAAATATTTTAAGTGGGGTAGTAAAGAAAATAAATAAATCAAAATTTTTTGGGCCCTGATTTTGTAAATATTTGGAAACACAATTTTCTCTAACATTCCCCCACTTGTTTCAAAATATTTATAAAACCATCATACAAACTTTTTGTAGCTATATAGAAGTTGCTTAAGTTGTACATCCTCAAACAACAAATCCATCTACACATATGACCCATCCACTCAATGGCATCAACCACACACATTCCCACGCTCATCAATTGTCCTGACGTTTTGTGTGATTTTTAACCATATCATGAACTTTACCTACATGCATCTAGATTAGTGGACTTTCTCTCTCTCGCTAATGTCCTTCGAAAAGCATAGGACACTCACACCGTGATACATACATCACCAAAAGGAATCTCTGTCACCTGAAAATTGTGAATAACCATCAATACAGCGAATCATGCCATGATCCCATAAGGATCCTCAAACTGGCCATCGCAAAGTGGAAAACGGTGTCTTTAAGATATGCCAACTGGAGATCATGCTCAGTGAGTCATGCCAAATACAACTGTCCAGTTTGGCCATCACAATACGGATAACAAAGTCAAAAGACTGCTAGTCGGAAGTCATGTTCAACTATCTAGATATCCAAGCTAGTCATCACAGTGCGGAAACACGGAGTCAAAAGACTACTAGCTGGAGGTCATGCTCAATAAGTCATGCCAAGTGTAACTGTCCAGTCTAGTCTCGCAATGTGGAAAATAGAGTCAAAAGACTGCTAGCTGGTGGTGGTTCGTGACACATACCCCTCCGAGGGATTTCACCACATACAAACCATTAAATGTCCGAAGACATATCCTAACCACCCTTGGAGGGCGCTTACATGCCACACAGGCGTCATCGCCATAAAGGCGGATATGTCACACAGGCGTCATCACCACAAGGTGGATATGCCACACAAACGTCATCGCCACAAAGGCGGATATGCCACACAGGCGAAGGGTAATCACATAACATTCCACATGCTCAATAGCTGCGCCACTAAGGCTCATCACAGGTGTATCATAAGAAATCTGTGGATCTCAATCCTATACGCCTTACACATTTTTCATGTGTGTTGATGTTGACACCTTTAGTCAACGGATCAACTATCATGAAATATGTGTGGAGATACATTACCCCTATATCCTTTCGTCCCACAAACTCTCTCACGGAATGATACTTTTTATCAATGTGTTTTGCAATATTGTGGTACATAGGATATTTAAAAATGGCTATGGCAGCTTGGTTGTCACAATGAATAACTGTTGAGTGCTCTCAAATGTAACCAATGGTATCTCACTGAGCAATTTTCTTAAATATATTGCTTCATTGGCCGCCTCATATAAGACAACATTCTATGCCTCCATTGTTGATTGTGACATACTCTTTTGTATATGGCTGCCCCATGATATACATGTTTCTCCATAAGTGAAAAGCCATCCAGATGTAGATATGAATTCATCCTCTCTGCCAGCCCAGTTAGCATCACTATAGCCTTACAATTCTAATTTACCATTTCCATAGCATAAGCTATAACTGGTGGTCTTTTTGAGATATCTAAATATTCTCTTTACAAATTTCCAATGTTCTATGCCTGGGTTACTCATATAACGGCTAGCAACCCTCACTGCATATGCTATGTCAGGGTGTGTGCAGTTCATCAAATAGTTTAGTGATCCTACTGCTTGTGCATAAGGGATCTTTTCCATAATTTCTTTTTCCTTATCAGTCTTAGGACACATGTCCTTGGACAGTTTACACCCTTTCTCATATGGGGTTCCCATTGGTCTAGATTCATCCATTTTAAACTTTTTCAGTATCTTTACAGTATATAATTATTGGCTTAAGTAGAGTAATCTTCTCTTCTTATCTCTTGTGATTTGCATGCCAAAAACCTTCTCTAGTTATCCTAGGTCTTTCATCCCAAATTGTAAAGATAACCACTCTTTAGTATCTTTAATAACCTTAGGATCACTGCCTGTAATGATAATGTCATTTACATATAACACTAAAATGAGATGACTAGCCCCACTACTTCGAATGTATACACAATAGTCAGCACTAGTATTAACAAAGCCATAGTTCTTTAGTGCCTCATTAAACTTTAAATACCATTGTCTTGAGGATTGTTTAAGTCCATAAAGAGATTTATTTAACTTGCACACTTTGCATTCTTGTTCTTTAGACTCGAAACCCTCAGGTTGCCTCATAAATATCTCTTCCTCTAATTCACTATTGAGGAATGTTGTCTTTACATCCATTTGATGTATGTCATAGTTATAATTGTTTGCTATTGCTATTACAATTCTAATGGATGACTTTCTAGCAACAAGGGAGAAAGTTTCTTTATAATCTACCCCTTCTACTTGGGTAAAACCCCTATCAACAAGTCTAGCTTTATACCTATCAATTGTTCCATCTGGATTCAGTTTTTTTAATATAGATCTATTTACAACTAATGGCTCTACGACCTTCTGGTAGGTCTACTGAGGTCCATGTATCATTCTTCATTAGTGAGTTATATTCATCTTGCATTGCCGCCATCCAATTGGACGCCTCTGATGAACTTATGGCTTCTTTAAAGCTTATGGATTCATCATCAAGTTCATAGTAGTCATCCAAGTAACTAGGTCTTTTAGTTTCCCTAGTACTTTTTCTAGGCTCTACCATAATCAGAATACAATTAATACTACCAGGGTTCTCATAGGAATCACTAAGTTGTCCCATTTCTTCTTCTTCTTCTTCTTCTATAATTTTAAGTTGTTTTCCCTTTGGAATTACTTCATCCTCAAAGAAATGAGCATCTCTACTTTCTATGATAGTCTTAATCTCATGATCATAGTATCTATAACCCATAGAATGACTAGAGTACCCAACAAAAGTGCATTTAATTGTTTTAGGTCCCAGTTTTTCTCTATTTGGGTTAAGGAGATGAGCTACACAACCCCAAACTCTAGTGTGATCTAAATAAGGCTTTCTATAAAACCATAACTCAAAAGGCGTTTTATTTGTAGATTTGTTAGGAACTCTATTTAAAATATAAGTTGAGGCTAACAAAGCTTCTCCCCAAAATTGGTAAGATATATTAGCTTCTTGTATCATACAATTAACCATCTCTAATAAAGTTCTATTTTTTCTTTCAGCCATACCATTCAGTTGGGGTGTATAAGGGAGTATGCATTGTCTGATGATCCCTTGTTCCTTACAAAAATTTTCAAACTCAACTGAAAAACATTCTCCTCCTCTATCACTTCTCAAAATTTTAATCCTTTTATCTAGTTGATTTTCTACTTCCATCTTATACTCTTTAAATTTTCCTAAAGCTTCACTTTTATGAGAAATCAAATATGTATATATATATCGTGAATAATCATCAATGAAAGTGATAAAATATTCATGTCCTTCAAAGGTTTTAGCATTTAATTTTCCACAAATATCAGTATAGACTATATGTAGAACACTTTCAGCCCTTAATCCCTTTGGGAATGGTTTTCTATGCATCTTTTCTTTTAAACAGTTCTCACATTTAAATTTATCTTTTTCTTCATAAGGAATTAATTTTTCTTTCATCATTCTAGACAATTTTTCATAACCAATATGTCCTAATCTCATTGAAGCTTTCTTGGAAAGAAGAATCAACAATATAAGAGGAAGATGATTTCATTTCATTAATTTCAAAGTTTGTACAAAATTGCCACAAAGAGAAGCCTTAGCCACTTTTACACCATCCTTAAGAAAAGTCATATTCCCCCCTTTTACATTCACTTGGACCCTATTTTTATCTACCTTAGACAAGGAAATGAGGTTAAGCCTCATATCGGGGGCATGGAGGACATCATTAAGGGTAAGAGTACCCCCTTAGACAATTATCCTGTTGGCATCTTGCATTCACGCTGCCGAGGGCGGTGTTAATCAAGGATTTTTTTACTCACAGACGAGACCCAGCCATTCAATTCGAAGATCAAGGCATCCTGGTTATAGGTCGTCAAGTACTTTATCCCAAGCAATGGAGCTCTAAGTTTTGCAGTCCACAAGCAAGGGTAATGCTTCATTCCCGAAACTGACAAAGAAGTCACAAAAGAACCGGGCCACTAACCTGATTCGGTAATTGATATCTCCATTCTCGCACTAGAACACATACATACCTCCTTTTGTTGGAAATTGGAACACATATATCTTGGATGGGTCACTGGTTATGATGTTTGATGGAGCATTCTTTCCTCTCTCTCTCTGGTCTCATCTCCTTCTCTCTGTAAATTTTGCAATTTACAGACCTCAAGTGCACTGGATTGGAAATTTATTTATCCATTTTCAAACTAGAGAACACATAAAATCGTATGGGCCTCAAGTGCATTGGAGGAATTATTCATGGGATTATATACCATAAGACCATTCACTTTGTATGCGAGTTCACAATCACCCTTGGCCATTGGATGTGAAATCCGACAGGTTCAAGTATGTCATATAATTCAATAATTTATGGACTTTGTGCCCAATCAATGACCCACCCCTAGCCACCCAATTTCATATCTAACACTCCATAATAATTGTGACTTCCTTCTATCGTAAGTACATAATCCATTCTCAAAGTAGAAAATGTTGGGAATCGATTGGGTGAAAAAGAGGCAATATAGTACAACAAAACAACGATATAGGAAACCATACAAAATACTACATTATTTTGAAAAGTATCTTTTAAAACCAAAAATACTAACATAAACGGCCTGTAAATATTACCTATGTTATTGGTTTAGATGTTGGCAATGGATCTTTCCTTGTTCTGAACATGGGGTGGCAGGCAAACTAGATCTCATTGAATTGGATGCTTTAGAGTCCTCAAATGAGTTGGAAGAATCAATATCCCCATTCTCGCACTAAAACTACATGTGAATCTATCATGAGTTACTGGTTCGAATGCTCGATAAGGCGTTATTTCCGTACTCTACGGCTACCCTAATGAATTGGATACTTTACAGGCCACAAATACATTGGAGGAACTAACAACTAGATAGCATGAATCCTACATTGAACTAACAACTAGATAGCATCGAACTAACAACTAGATAGCATGAATTTTCACGAGGACGCATCCAAATCGAATTTTTTATTTGTTGAGCTAAAATTATTTAATAAGATAAATTACACAAAAAAAAAAAACTCTTGAACAGCAACATAATTGGGAATCTCTCTTTGGTCAGAAATGTTTGTATTTTTTTACTGGTTACAAAGGGCCAAGCGCCCACTATTGAGGGTGCAACATGGAAATTCGATAGGACCACTACCACTAGTTTGAGAGAGAGAGAGAGTGTCTTGCGTGGGTGAAGGGCTTACATTGTGCATATCCAAACCTGGTTTCTTACCACTCCAATTTCATGATTCACACAAGTCATGTTGATTCTCGAGTGGAATCTAACACTTGGAGGCTTCTCGGGATAATCTTTGTCACATAATAGCTTCAACTGATAAATTCTACCTTCATGGGCTGACTGCAATGGAATTCAGAAATTGGTGAGTAGATAGAAACACAAGTACAGTAACCATAAAACAAAGGCAAGTAGACTAGTAATGTCGCGTTATAGAATTGGATTATTTAATGTTGCAACTTTATAGAAACCACACCCTTTAAATTATGTTCCTCCTTTTTGATATAAAGGAGACTAGTAATATGCATGTGCATTGCACGTGACAACTAATATTAATCACTGAAACATATTTCTCATTGAAAAATATTATCAATAAAATATGGTCGGCTCGATGTATAGCATGTAAGATTCATGCTATCTAGTTGTTAGTTCCTCCAATTTATTTGTGGCCTGTAAAGTATCCACTTCATTAAGACAGTCATAGAGTAAGGAAATAATGCCTTATCGAGCATTCGAACCAGTAACTCATGATAGATTCCCATGTAGTTCTAGTGCGAGAATGGAGATATTGATTCCAAATGCAGTTGAGGACGCTAAAGCATCCAATTCAATGTGACCTAGTTTGCCTGCCACCCAAAGTTCAGAAAAAGGAAAGAATCCATTGCCAACATCTAAACCAATAACAAAGGTAAGATTTATAGGTCTTTTAAGTTAGTATTTTTTGTTTTAAAAAATACTTTCAAAATAATGTAGTATTTTGTATGGTTTTCTATATCGCTGTTTTGTTGTACTATCTTATTTCACCCAAACCAATTCCCAACATTTTCTACTTTGAGAATGGATTATGTACTTTCGATAGAAGGAATTCACAATTATTATGGAGTGTTTATGGAGTGTTAGATATGAATTGGGTGGTTAGGGGTGGGTCATTGATTGGGCACAACGTCCATAGATTATTGAATTATATGACATACTTGAAGCTGTCGGATTTCACATCCAATGGCCAAGGGTGATTGTGAACTCGTATACAAAGTGACTGGTCTTATGGTATACAATCCCATGAATAATTCCTCCAATGCACTTGAGGCCCATAAGACCTATATATGTTTTCTAGTTTGAAAATGGATAAATAATTCTTCCTGTCCAATGCACTTGAGGTCTGTAAATTACAAAATTTACAGAAAGAAGGAGATAAAACCAAAGAGAGAGGAAAGAATGCCCCATCAAATATCAGAACCAATAACCCATCCAAGATATATGTGTTCTAATTTCCAACAAAAGGGGATATGTATGTGTTTTAGTGCGAGAATCGAGATATCAATTACCGAATCAGGCCAGTGGCCCGGTTCTTTTGTGACTTCTTTGACTGTCCGGGAATGAAGCATTACCCTTGCTTGTGGATGGCAAAACTTACAGCTCCATTGCTTGGGATAAAGTACAGAACGGCCTATAACCAGGATGCCTTGATCTTCGAATTGAACGGCTGGGTCTCGCCCCTGAGCTGGAAAGCCCTTGCTTAACACCGCCCCCGACAGCCTAAATGCAAGATGCCAGCAAAAGAATTGGTTAGACAGAGTCTAGGGCTGCTTCCTTCCCACCGCATCCTTCCTTGTGTGTTAGAGACACAAAACGAGTGCACTGGAAAAGAACGGGAACTGGGTCGATCTATTCTATGGTGAAGCATCGGAAGCATGTATTCGAGGCCAATTTATCCAATTTAAAGAGAGCGAGCGAAGAGGAAGATAAGATAGCAACCCAAGTAGTTAATGAGGATCGGATCCTTGACCCAACATCTGAACTAGTCTTAAAAACAAACACTTTTTAGGTTGTTCTAGCGTGACAATGGAGATATCAATTCCTCCAATGCATTCAAGGCCTGTAAAATATCCCATTTAAAAACAGTAGAAGATAAGAGAGCCTCCCAAGTTGAAAAGTGAGGAAAGAACCCTTTACCCACCATCTGAACCAGTAATTCATTGGCCTCAACCACCATACCTTCTCTCAAATAAGCATTAATCAAGGTCCTATAAGTGACTGAATTTCCACAAACCCCATTAGAACCCATCTCTGCAACCAATTCATCGGCTCTTCTAAGATTACCATCACTGCAAAAGGTCCTGATTAATGTATTGTAAGTGATCACATTAGGCCTACATCCCATCTCTCTCATGACACAGAGTACCTCCTTGGCTTCCTCCAGTTTTCTCTCTCTACAAAGCCCATTGATATATACACTGTAAGTGAACACATCAGGGACTAACCCCATTGCTAACATCTCATCGAAGACCTCGCCTGCTTGCTTAAATTCCCCAATTTTATAGAACCCATCCATCATACTAGTGTACGTAATGGTGTCCGGCTTTGCACCCTCCAATTTCATTCGATTCAAAATAGCTCGAGCTTCGTTCAACCTACCACCCTTTGCTAGAGAATCAATCACAATGGCATAAGCAATTTTATCAGGAAAGAAACCAGCATCCTTCATCTCATCGAGAAAGCCATAAATTTCTGAAAATTCCCCAAATTCACACAATTTGCAGAGGATTTCAGCGTAGAAACCAGAATCAGGCCAACACCCCTGGTCAGGCATGAGGCGTAAGAGCTCAATTGCAAAACCCAACTTTCCAATTCGACAGAGAGAACCGATAAGTATTCTGAAACTTGAAGCATCGAGCCTTATGTTCATTTCCAAGGTCTTTATGAGAAGCTCAGGGACCAAATGGAATGAATCAGTGTCACACAAGACCGAAAGTAAAGCGTTCAGAGAAGTTGTGGAGGGTTGGCACCTTAGATGGGGCATGGCAAAAAAGAGGTCTAGGGCCTCTTTTACCATTTTTGAGGACGCACAGCTCTGAATAAGGCCTATGATACGGGTTTCTGGGGTGCTGAACTTTCGATTGCTTTGGAGGCATCGCAGAAGGGTTTTGAGCCCTGAGAATTGGGGGTTCTGAGCAAGAATGACAATGGTGGAGAGTGGGTGAGAGTTGAGGCATTTGGATGAGGTGTATGTTGCAGAAGGAGGAGACAGATTAGGGTTTTGAGGTTGTGAAATCAGGGTTTTGGGGTCTGAGAGTTGGAGTTTCTGGGCGATAATGGAGACGGTAGAAACAGAGTTAGGGTTAGCGTGTTGGCTTTTTGGGAGAGTGTCAGTCGCAGGTGCGAGATTAGGATTTGGGGGAGGAGAAATTATGGTTTTGGATCTGTGTGTCTGTTTCGGTGCTTTCATGGTAGGAAACGTAGACTTCATGGTAGGAAGAGTAGATTGTAAAGCGAAATTCAATGGGTTGCGAAGCCAGTGGTGGCAATCTTCGGTTTCCGGTCCTCTCTTTCCTGGCTTCCAGCGGCTCACTGCTATTGGGTGAAATGGGACCTCCAACGCTAGATGAAGTTGCAGTCTGATATAGAGGAAGGCTTTCAACAATTCATATTTTTTCAAAGAAAATTTAAAATAAAATACGTAAATTTGCAGTAAATACGTGACGAAATATGTCAAATATTACAATCAAATTATAGAAAATATGTAAACATTGAGAATCTGCTTTTTGAATGATTACCAACTAGTGTTTGGAAAATCTAATCGGAGCGGTCAATCGAAACCTAGGCTCGAAAGCGATTTAACCTACAGGTAAACCGACCACTTCAACGTTCTAACAAAGCAAGTCCCAAGCAGTGAAAAAGCGTTAAAAAAATAAAAAAAAAGCAAAAAAAATCTATTAAAATATAAAAAATATATAAAAATAATTAAAATAAAATACATTCAAATGAAATTGAAAATTAATGAAAAAAATGGATTTTAAAAAACCGATTTGTGCATATAGATATTTTCAAATTTTTCTAAAAAAACTGAAAAAATATAAAAATGAATATTAATAACCAAAACAAATTTTAATCTTTACCGTAATATAAAAAATATTACCAATGCCAAGGCCATACTCTCGCAACCAAAGATGGCTACATACTCACCCTACAAAGAATTCCCCAAGGCCGCACTCGTAAACCCTCCAACCACACAAGGCAGCCCGTTTTGTTGCAGCAGGGCCTCAGTATGGATGGAGTTTCATGGCTTATAAGTCCTCCTCAACGGTGTCTTGGCCGATATTGGCTTCGACGTGTGGATTTCAAACACGGAGGGACCGAATGGAGTAGCAAGCACACAACCTTAGAACCCTCCGATCTGGTCATCATGGGATCAGCTCGCAGAATATGAATTACCAGCCTTGTTGGAATACGTAAACAAGCAAACAAGGATGAAGGTGAACTATGTGGGCCACTCTCTAGGTACTCTTACTGCCTTGGCTTCCTTATCTCAGTTAATCTCACAAGATCCGCTGCTTGTCTAAGCCCAATCGCTTATTTGAGTCATATGACAATACCCTTGGGCTTAATCGCTGCAACAACTATGATTGATCTACTAGCAATAGGGATGGGGATCGCAGAGTTCAATCCTGCACACCCGACCGTGATGGCCCTCTTTGGTAAGTTCGTGATCTTCTTCAATTTGGCCAGTGTCATCACAGGGAAGAACTGCTGCCTCAATTCCTCAACCATAGAGCTTTTCCTACGACACGAGTCTCAGTCTACTTCAACAACGAACATGGTGCACCTTGCCCAATGGTTGGGAACGGGGATGTATGACTACGTATGACTATGGAAACCGTAACGAGAACATGATCCACTCTGCCCAGAGTGAGCTTCCCAAGTACAACTTGTCCGATATACCAAGTGATCTTCCCGTCTTCTTCAGCCACGGTGGATACGACGCTCTCTCTGAAGTGGATTTGTTGATCTCCAAGCTCGAGTCTCACGACAAGGACAAGATCACCATCCAGTATGTAGACAACTAAGCACACATTGACTTCATTTTAGCCATCGATGCCACGCAAATAGTTTACGAGCCGCTCATCGATTTCTTCAAATGCAATTCAAACTATCTCTTATTACATTTGAGATCAGTCATTAAAACTTTGCTTCGTTCAAGAAAAAGTTGCGTATCTGCAAAAATGTAAACACAAGGTCTGTTCATAGTTTTCAATTTGATGCAGTTCTGTGTTGCTTCTTGTAGCAGTCTATCTATGAGTCTGACATTGAAAACTTGGGCCTTTATCTTTACATTGATGATGTGATGTGCATTATTAGCGAGAAGAAATATGAAAAATTCATGATGGTTTAGAATGAGTGCCATATTGTATATGATCCCCCAAAACCTGTACGATGTAATAACACCACTGACAAGTGACCAAAGTAGGATCCCCTGAAACCTATACGATACGATAACACAACTCACAAGTGACTAAATTCAAAATTCGCTACTCAGTTGAATGTAGAAATCCCAAATTCAGCCACAAAAAAGGGTTGAAGCCAAGGGAATGGGTGACATTGCATTCTCGTTCCCCTCCCGAAAACGGTCACACACAATCCTTCTTAAGGGATTTGAAGTCTACCCATTTTGGCCTAGTTCGCTCCCACTTCTCATGGAATGCATTATGTTTTTAACATGGGTTTGGTTTGCATAAACAAGGCGCAATTTCAAATAGTGTCAAAAGACAGATGTTACATATCATAAATCTTTTTGATGGCCTAACATTTATTTTTATTCTCTGATTATAAAATTTAAGGTTTAACATTTATTTTCATTCTCTATTTATAAAATTTAGAGCTTCAATAAATAGTGTAGATCGAACAAATTTATAAATACTTAAAAATCTAAAAAATTGCCTGTCCTAAAAAAAGGAACGATCTTGAGTATTTAACATTCACATTGTTACGGTATGCGTGAGATTAGGACCGTCCATTTTTATTACGGTAAGTCAATGACCCCGTCTCCCTCCATTTTCTCTCTCTCTCTTCTCTCCCTCTACTGCAACAACCATGGGCTAATGGCATGCAATCTCGTTGGAGTAAGAGCCAAGTTTGAATGGCGTCTTATTGGGCTGGTACAGGTGATATTGAAGGCTTTGGGAGCTCATGAGGATCAATGAACCGTGGGTTTTAGGGGTTTTTGTGCCGAGTGTTGACGACTTAAAGACTGTGGGAGGTCATGCAGATCAACGGACGATGGATATTGGGGGTTTTTGTTAGGCGTTGGAAAGAAATTTTGCTTTATCCGGCGAATTCAGAGGAGACAGAGAAACCCTGCACAAAAATCCAATCCTCTACATACAGAGATCTCATAAGATTAAAAGAGAGATTTAGAGAGAAAAAATAACGGAAGTGCAAACAGATTAAAGAAAAAAAAATTCCCAAATCATTAACTTATACATTAACTACCTCTTAAAGATTTCTAGAGGATGTTAGGAAGACTAAGAAACAGCTTTCCGGGGCACAAAATCAGCCAGTTTGAGTGAGATAATTACTTTAGAGACAGCAACCAGGTGACTTAACACCTGCAAAACCTCGTACTTGTGTGGTTTGCTCCAATAATAGAAAACCAAGGTAAAGGTCAATGAGAGCCAAGGGTTTTTTCGATGGAGCTTTTTGCTCAATGTTTCTTTCTCATCTGATTCTCTCACTTCCCTTGCCGCTAATTTCCTATTTATTTCTCTCTCTCTCATCTGATTCTCTCACTTCCCTTGCTCTCTAAAAACTGTGTATCGATGTCTGCATGAGGAGATTGCAGATGTTTGGAGAGTTCTCTTGGGTGATACTTCTTTGGCGCAAGTGATACAGAGAGGGAGTAAAAAGGCGTTCTATACAAGATGCACTGTTTTCGAAGGCATAGAATCAACCTCTTCTAGTGAATTTTTGTTTGCATAATTGTTTAGGACCTTGGCCGTATGTTAAAAAAAATTTAATATATTATATGTGTAAATAACAATCATAAGAAAGTGAATTATATCTGAGTTTTAAATCGAACACGAGATATCTTCGGCCGACAATAACAATCTAATGGAGCACTGCACTCACTCCCATATATAAACTTACCAAACATAATCGCCAAAAACATTTTGAAATTTACGTGGTTGTAACTTAAAGGACCTCTCACTCCCAAATTAAAACTCAACAACACATCTCTTTACGTTTGTTTTCTATTGGAAAAAGAGTGCGCATACATTTACTTGCCCGGGCAAAACCACTTGGGAGAATTTTTTTTTATTATTTGAAATTTCAGGATCCACCTAATAATAACTAATTGATAATTTTCAAAGAAAAAAATTTGGATTTTCCTTTTTAAAAGTTTTGCACGAGGGAATAGGTGAATGGCATATACCCCGCAGGAGGAAGGAAAACTTTTGGCTTGGAAACATTTTACAGACAGGTCCATGAAACCGCCATCATCATCCCAAAAAACTTTTGGCCCTAATTGTTTGCCAATGTTCCTCGATTCAAATAGTGAACGAAGAAAAGAAAGGAGATCTTTTCTCTCTTTAACTCCATTTTCTATAGATTCAATCAAGTTTCCTTTTCTTTTTCCAAATACTACTCACCCAATCCAATAAACCTTAAAAACCAATAAAAAAAAAAACTTCGAGAATGAAACAGACAATCACAAATATCACCTTAGCTATTATTGACTACATTATCCACAATTTATCCACGGGAAATTGGACTTCTAAAAGCAAATCCAAAAGCACAACCACCACCACAAGCATACAATATCCGAACAACTCTCTCTCTCTCTCTCTCTCTCTCTCTCTCTCTCTCTCTCTCTCTACTCTACGTACTACGTACTACGTACTACGTACGTAACTAACGTAACGTAACGTAACGTAACGTAACG